TGTTATTATGGTTTAAAATGGTCAGGCTGGTCTTTTTTACTGGTTCTAGACTTTATTTTTTTGTTGCTGGTCAGACTGGGAGACCAACTTGTTTCCCAGCTAAAGACCAGCTTGATCAGGCTGGGAGACCATCTCAAACCACCTACGACCAGCAAACCATCTTAGGCTGGCTTAAGATGTTATTTGTTCAGCAGTAAAGAGCTGCTACAGGTGCTGCATATATGCTCAACCTATGACAAATCATCATCTCGTCCTCTTTTTAAGCCATATTTTTTCAGTCACTTACTTTATTGTCTGCAGTGCTGTTTTCCGGTGGTTATAATCCTGCAGACGGGGATCCGAACATGCCGACAGAGCTAGCGCGCGTCCCAGGATCGCTCACTAACAAAAACACTGGCTCCAGAATCAGCGCGAGGGTCCGATGACAAGCGACTCGAGAGCGGGTTTTATTTCATAAAGAAAGGTCTTTGTTTTTAGCAAACGGAAAAAAACAGACACATTTAAATAAAAAAAATAAGGCTAACAGTGAGGAAAAACGAATCGTATAATATAATGCGCGAACACAGATCCGTAATTAAATCTCTAGGCGGCCCCACAAAGCATCATCAATGTGATGTCACCAAGAGCGGACCAATCAGTTTCCAGCAGAAGTGCCTCCTGTCAGAATACATGACTGTTTTAGTATGGCAAGCTATATTAACATTTAATAACTGATTTCTCAAGCATTTTTGATGTTTCAGTAGTAAAAACTCTTAATTTCAAATATCTAATGTACAACTTCAACTAGTCATACATTTTGATTGGCTTACATTGAGTGCTGTGACAACACTCATGAAATGTTTTGTCCTGGGCCATATTGATACTAGAAAAATTTGGACAGCATTGATGAGTAAAGACTACATTTATCTAATAATAATGACCAGATAAGTTTATTAAAGGTTTACATAAGGCCTTCTTCTTTAATGATGCTCTACTAATGTGCATTTGATTTAAATTTTGGTCATTTTAGTTTTTGGTGATGAATGTTTAGTTGTACTAATTTTTCCCTCACAAGATGAAATGGAAATTTATGTTTTAAATTTAACTTTAATTTAACCAAGTGTTGTTAGTTTAAAATATGTTGCCGTAAACAGTTCAAAAGATCCATAATATCGTTTTTGAAAGAAATTTTGAAAGAGTGCATAAAATTTATCAAAAGTGACAGTTAAGACATCTACAATATTAAAAAAAGGTTTCTATTCTTTTCATAAAAGAATCCTGAAAAAAAAGAATGTATCCACAAAAATATTTACCAGCACAACTGTCAAAATTGATAATAAGAAATGTTTCTTGAGCACAAAGTTAGCATATTAGAATGATTTTATAAGGACCATGTGACACTGAAGACTGTAATGGCTGCTGAAAATTCAGCTTTACCATCACAAGAACAAATTGCATTTTTAAAATATAATAAAATCTAGAACATTATTTAAATTTGTAATAACATTTCACAGTATTAATTTTTTTTTTTACTGTTTTTTATTATTAAATAAATGCAAATAAATTTTATTAAGTAAATGCAACCTTGGTGAGCATAAGTGTATTCTTTCAAAAACAAAAAAAAGTCTGGTATTTTTCTTGGGGTGTACTTAACATTTCTCTATAACCTTTTATAGTTTAAAAACATGTAATAGAGGCTTGCCAATGTGTGTATAAATGCTGTAAGTACTGGTGGGATGCAATACAATGATTGTTTCAGTTGACAAAAAAAAAAAAAAGTTAATCAGCCTCATCAAGTGATCTCTGTGATTAATGCTTGTTTGCACCTGTACACATGACAGTCACTGTATGTGGCAATCATTCTTTTCCGTAAGCTTAATCATAATGAACAGAGCTTCATTTGTGTCTTTATTTGCATGAGCTTGCATATTTATTTACAACCAAATGAAACGTATTCAGTACATATGATTATAATACAAAACATTATTTTCATCATATAAAAGCATTCTGCAGCAGAATGATTACAGTTTTCACTACTGTGATAAGTATACATCAGTACACAAGAAACAGAGACAGACACATGATTGGATTATATTATTTATGTCAATTTGTCAAGTCAGCTCTCCAGTGACTCATTATATCTCAACGATTACCCCACAGCAACAACAGCAGTAATGATGAGATTATTACCATAATAATATAAGAAAATTATTAATTAATGCTCTGTTATGTAATATTACTGTACAACGAATTGCTACTTATTTGAATCATGTTTTTAACACTGCCACGGCACTTTGTGTCAATTTGTATTGTGGTTGTAGAAGGTGAAAGTGTGGTATTGTGACAGTATAAACAGTAGAGGGCGACATAGCCTGCTGCGTGTAATATTTTTTACACAAAAAAAAAAAAAAAATCGTTGCCTTTAGTACTTTTGACTCTTGCCAAGTATGCAGACATCGTCTCATTTCTCTTTGGTCTACCTTTTGTCCTGCTGCTTTGATTTTAGTACTATTCTATTTACAGTAATCCACCATTTAATATTATCCAAGTATAGTTAAAATGGGCAGCACCAATGGAAATTGCAAAGAAAAAAAATCCCACTCCTTTGTTCAAATGGGCCCCACATTGATAATATATATATTTTTTAACAAACAGGCTAATAATGTTGCTCTCAAAATACATTAGCAGCCCTACAATTTTTCTCAAATCTATTCCTGAAGGCCTCCCAATCTACACATTTTGGATGTTTCTCTAATCAAACACACCTGATTAAACTCATGCAGGTTTGTAACAGGTTATAACGTTCTCAGACGTTTTACATCAGCCATGCCATTACCTTTTGATTCATTTAATATCTACACTGTGACTTACAACTACCAACAGTGCATTTGGATCTTCTGCTTATTTGATGTACTGGTTTTTGCATAGTAAATAGTAGGTAAGTATGCATATTTGGATGCAGGATGTGTCAGATATCCAGTTTTAGGGGGCTTCCAGGACCTGCTTAGACCTTAGATGCTTTCTCTGTATGCAAACAGTTGAGACCAGCTGTGTTAACGTGAGGTGAAACCGACACTCTACATGGTGCTCAACACTGACTTAACTAGGCCGTACTGTGAGAATGATTAATTACCTTTATGATAACAATGCACAAAAGTGGGTAAGCTACCTTCTAAACTTTAAACCTATAAAGCATACTGTACCATATTTGATATGCATATTTCTAAGGCCTAGTTAGTAATATGTGACCCTGGACCACAAAACCAGTCATAATAGCACAGGTATATTTGTAGCAATAGCCAACAATACATTGTATGGGGCAAAATGATAAAAAAAATTTTAATGCCAAAAATCATTAGGATGTTAAGTAAAGATCATGTTCCAGACATCGTCTCATTTCTCTTTGGTCTACCTTTTGTCCTGCTGCTTTGATTTTAGTACTATTCTATTTACAGTAATCCACCATTTAATATTATCCAAGTATAGTTAAAATGGGCAGCACCAATGGAAATTGCAAAGAAAAAAAATCCCACTCCTTTGTTCAAATGGGCCCCACATTGATAATATATATATTTTTTAACAAACAGGCTAATAATGTTGCTCTCAAAATACATTAGCAGCCCTACAATTTTTCTCAAATCTATTCCTGAAGGCCTCCCAATCTACACATTTTGGATGTTTCTCTAATCAAACACACCTGATTAAACTCATGCAGGTTTGTAACAGGTTATAACGTTCTCAGACGTTTTACATCAGCCATGCCATTACCTTTTGATTCATTTAATATCTACACTGTGACTTACAACTACCAACAGTGCATTTGGATCTTCTGCTTATTTGATGTACTGGTTTTTGCATAGTAAATAGTAGGTAAGTATGCATATTTGGATGCAGGATGTGTCAGATATCCAGTTTTAGGGGGCTTCCAGGACCTGCTTAGACCTTAGATGCTTTCTCTGTATGCAAACAGTTGAGACCAGCTGTGTTAACGTGAGGTGAAACCGACACTCTACATGGTGCTCAACACTGACTTAACTAGGCCGTACTGTGAGAATGATTAATTACCTTTATGATAACAATGCACAAAAGTGGGTAAGCTACCTTCTAAACTTTAAACCTATAAAGCATACTGTACCATATTTGATATGCATATTTCTAAGGCCTAGTTAGTAATATGTGACCCTGGACCACAAAACCAGTCATAATAGCACAGGTATATTTGTAGCAATAGCCAACAATACATTGTATGGGGCAAAATGATAAAAAAAATTTTAATGCCAAAAATCATTAGGATGTTAAGTAAAGATCATGTTCCATGAAGATCTTTTGTAAATTTCCTACCGTAAATATATCAAAACTTAATTTTTGATTAGTAATATGCATTGCTAAGGACTTAATTTGGACGATTTTCTCAACATTTAGATTTTTTTGCACCCTCAGATTCCAGATGTTCAAATAGTTGTATCTCTGCCTAATATTGTCCATTCTTAACAAACCACACATCAATGGAAAGCTGATGTATAAATCTCAATTTAAAACAAATTGACCCTTATGACTGGTTTTGTGGTCCAGGGTCACATATAATGAACATGTATGGGCTGAAGCAACTTAAAAATAATATGTATGAAAAATCATGTTAAAATTTGAGGATCAAATATGATTCATCATGCTTTTGAGGACTGTTTATTGGTTATATGTTGATTCATCTCTCAATTATCACTGTATTGCAAGAGTGAAGAGCATAAAATATTGTTATCTTTAGGTTTACCTCCAGCCTCGCGCGCCACTTGTATAGAATGCTCGCGCGCCATTTACCTGACGCGCACCTGCGGGCGTCACTCCCAGTGACACGGGCGCGCGCATCCCCATCCAGCCTGCTCGCGCGCTGGTGAGGGAACGGGATCCTCCGTTCCTCAGTCCGCTGAAAGCTCAGTTTCACCGGAGTGCTTCAAACTGTCTCTACCTTTGTCTCTGACAACGCCGCGTCACTTTGATGGGGAATTCCATATCAGGGCGGGAAAATGCCTGTTATGAAAGGATTGCTCGCGCCACAGAACACATTTTTGGATACTATAGCGACGCGTTTTGACGGCACACGTAAGTTACCGCGATGGCATTTTCCCCTATTTGTGTGCAAAAACTAGTTTGGTGTTTCTAATGAGACTGTTTTTCCTTAAGCAGGACAGACAGTAATAAGTTTGGTCGTTTGAGAAGAGTAGACAAATGTTTGTCACAGCAAGTGCACAGTGAAATTGACAGTATATTTACTATGACACCACATTAAAAGCATGATTCATTAAATAATATTAGGGTTAGAAATGAGCATGCAATAGTGAAATAGCTTCTTACATGTGAATAATACAAAATGAGTAAATGCAAATAAATCATGAAAAAAACTCGAGATAAATAGGAATAAAAACACCATGCTTATAACTAGTACTAAATAACACTTTAAAAGCTTCTCTGTTTGTTTTATATGTTTACATGGTTTTAGTTCAGTGTTCAAGTTCAGTGTTGTGTGCATAATTGCGTTGCATATTTTTTTTTGCTTGTTTTCTGTGAGAAATGTGCATTTTATGGTGTGCAAAGTACTTGTCCTAAGTAGAGGAACAAACTCTATTCTTTTACGTGCTAAAGATTGTTTTCTGAATTTGGGTTTCGCACATTATATATCCATGCCTCTCCACAAGTGTTTTTTGTTGAGTTTTGCATTGGAAGCACAATATTGCTCTCAAACTGAGCATCTGCTCGCTCAGCACCATGGACAGCGCACAAGGGCAACCCTTTGGTTAGATCTGTCAGAGCACTTAGGCTGCTTTGATGCTTAGATCAGTGGTTCTCAGTCTCACAGAACTGCACATTTTGGATGTCTCCCTTATTTGACACACCCATTTCAGGTCTTGGAGGTGCCCTACTAACAATCTGATGAGTTGAATCAGGTTTGTTAGATTAGGGAGACCTCCAAAATGTGCAGATCCACTGGCTTAGATGGTGGTGCATAATTTGGCTGTCCTAATGTTTATTTTTCATATAGAGCTCAAGCAGGGTTGGTAGAGATAACAGTAACAATCAGAGGGCTGTTTAATTAAAGTTCAGACCAATAGCCCAGATCATGCACAAAAAAAGACGCGCTTAACGTCCGGATGAAATCCCTTGCGTGGCCCCAGGTAACGACCAGCATCGATCAAATATAATTGGTCGACCACAAAACAGTCAGGCGGTATTTCATCTCAAGGCGTATTGTGCGGTTGTAAAAATGAGTCTGTCTGGATTTCTTTTGTGTGATAAAAGTTTACTGATTTCACAGAGCAAAGCCTGTCAGCTTTTATCGCTTTGTTCCAAACTGTTTTGGTGTCCTAACAGAAAGAACTTGTACCATCCTGCCTTATCACATTATACATTTAGGTAACTTGTTTTCCCCCATCTAGGTCTAAGGTTTGAGAAATGAGAACCGAGACTGTGTTTTATTTTAGTGCTAGAGCTCCCACCACAGGAATCCTTCTCAAGGGACATGGTGTCCTCTGCGCTGCTGGGTCCATATATTACCAAACCGTGATGGCGTGTACCCATGTGACTATGGTTTGTCCTTCAGGGGAGACTACCTGTATGGCTGTCACACCTTGGGCTGCCGCAGGTAACATGGCTGAGAATAGCACAGGAATGGCTGGAAATAGCACCTGTCATATTGAAAGGAAAGTGACAACAATGACACAGGGGGCGATAACAGGGAAAATCCCATTAGGCGACATCCACGGTGGCTCTCCAAAAATGGTAGCCTACATGTGGAGAGCATTAACAAAGAGGTTGAATTTTTTTTTTTTTTAATGTTGGTGGATGTTGTGTTCATTATATTACAGACACAAATGAAAGAGCACGCACCCAAGCCAAAGCAGAAATGCTGTTGCCAGTTTTGATTTTGTATGTGCTGTACAAAGTCAAATCATTTGTGAGGAAAATTTTATGCTAGTCCATACAAAATTGGCCACCACAATGCAAAAGTTTTCATGGTTTTCAAGATATTCAGGGTGATTGCTGTCATGTTCCAGGTGGTTGCTACGTGGTCTCTGTGTAACTCTCGTCTCTAGAAATGGCTTGCTTGGCTTTTTTTTATTTTGGCCCATTTGTATCATATGCCTGTTGAAAATGATAAGTTAGACCTTTCTTAAACAATCCGAAGTATTTTGCAGATATTTTAAAGACTGTTTCAATAGTTTTTACCAATCCAATCACAGTCACTATGGTCCAAAACAACATGGCACCCCATTAAAGCAATAGTTCACCCAAAATTATCTGTAAATTTACTCACCCTCATGGTGTTCAGGATGTCAATGGGTTTGTTTGTTCACTGGAACAGATTTAGAGAAATTTATCATTACATCACTTACTCAGCAATGGATTCTTTGAAGTAAATGGGTGCCGTCGGAATGAGAGTCCAAACAGCTGATAAAACATGAAAATATGGATTATTGTGATGTTTTTTTATCAGCTGTTTGGGCTCTCATTCTGGCAAGTAATCCACAACACTCCAGTCCATCAGGTCTTGTGAAGTAAAAAGCTGAATGTTTGTAATAAACAAATTCATCTTTAAGATGTTTTAACTTCAAACCATTGCTTCCAACTAAAATATGAATTCATAATCCCTAAAGCTGCTTTCTCCAATGAAAACGTCATGACGTTTGAATCAGGAGAGAAATATACACAGATAAAGCACTGTTTACAAGCAAAAACAGTTCTAAACAAATATTTTGGGGGATTTTTATGTGCAAGAACAACAGGGGATGGACATTTTCACTGGAGGAAGTGTAGTTATGGATTATGGATATTTTGGCCAGAACGACAGTTTAAAGTTAAAATGCCATGATGGATTTGTTTCTTATAAACCCACAGCTTTTCACTTCACATGATGGACTAGAGTCATGTGGATTGATGTTTTTATCAGCTGTTTGGATTCTGACGGTACCCATTCACTGCAGAGGGTCCACTGGTGAGCAAGTGATTATGTAATGCTAAATGTCTCCAAATCTGTTTGGATGAAGACAAACTCATCTACATCTTGAATGGCCTGAGGGTGAACTATTCCTTTACCTTTCATTGTATGGACAAACAACTTCTTTTGTTGCTCAAAAAAAGAAAGTCATGCATGTTTGGAATGACACGAGGGTGAATAAATGATGACAGAATTTTCTTCTTTTTTTGATTAAACTATCCCTTTAATAATTGGGTTCAGATTTTTGAAAAATCACTAACCTTACGTATGATAAATAGAAAAGTGATGCTTTCCTTAGCGAGCACCACTAATTACACCCTTTACTTTATAATCTTGTGCAACATCCAAGTTACATAAGAAAGCCTGCTGATTTGTTATTGTCAAGAGAAGCTATACATGTATTAAACTCCCCTCTGAAGCATCCTAATGTGTGTGCTTGCTGTTATGCGTTAATATTCCATCAAGACGAAAGACTTCAAAATACTCTTTTCACACAGGTACCTGTCAGGACAGCATATGGTGGGTAATTACAGTAAAGCAGTGTGTGTGTGCCAGTTGCGTGTGTTTGCAGTTGTGTGTTACCCAAAGAAAAGGAGAGAGTGTGGTTAACTGTGAAAGAGTAATTTAGAGTAATTTTGGATGAGTCCTTTTAAAAGAACACTTCAAGTAGATGCTTCCGTTGCTAAAATTACGAAGCGCAGGGTTAGACACCCAAGTCAGGTAATGGAGATATTTCAAGCGGTGCACTCTTGCATGTGATGCATAATCACACTGCCAGCGAACTCAACACATATCAGGCACAAAATAAGGAAATTGGCATGTCTGCTGCACCTCTTCCAGTTTGGAACAGATCTATAGGTCTGAAAGACGGTAAAATTGAGGCTCTAGACTGGGAGAACAATGCGTGTCTGTTGTTTGAACTTGGGATAGAGATGTCAGTGTGCTGTTCTTCTGTTGTTCACTGAACTTCACACAGAGCTGAAACTGAGCTCATCAGTCATCATTAGGGAAGAGAGAGAGGGACTGGATGCCTAAGAGGGAAAGCAAAAAAAGATGGACGGGCTAAAGAAAGCATGCAGGGAAATGAAGCAGCAGAACATGGTCTAAAGAGAACGAAGAAAGAAGAACCTTTGCGTATTACATGTTGACATTATTGGATGGTGGAAACAGGACACTGTGAGGATGCACTCTGCAATTTCAGAAGGGTTATCTACACGGATCAGACCAGAATACAGATAGAACTCCCGCTTACTGTTCCAAAGTCTCCGAGAATGGAATTCTGGAATCGTGCCAGTCTAGACTTTCAGACCTTGCCATCTTCCTTTGTCTTATTAACATTCAGAGAATACTTTTGTGTGCTCTGGCACGAAGCATGAATTGAAACTAAATTTGAAGGACCCTGCTGAGACTGTGACAAAAGATTATGTAACCACAACAGATTAGTGAAATAAAAAGGTTGAAATTATTATATGTGATGGAGCCATTTTAGACTCTTCCTATTGCTGCTTTGCTTATTGCTGAAAGGATTTTAGCACCATATGCAGATGGTTTTTAGTATCTTGTCAGCTCCATGCCAGTAGAGCTCATTAGCCTGGAGTATTTAAAACGGTAGTTTTTACTGAGATTCAGGAGTCTATTATACATAAAAACATACTTAGGTCATATCAGTGAAGAATTTAAATGTTTTCTCCTTTATCTGTGCTCAAACCTGTTCTCAGATGTCAGCGCAAGACGTTATACATGATGCATTAATGCATTCTTTCAAGGAAATAGGATTCAGAACAAAAAGGCAGTCAAGATCTCAAGCCAGCAAAATCAAGGCTGAGCTAAAAACACACTTAATCATAAGCTCTCTATACCTTAAGAGTTTGAAGGATGTGTCCTACACTTAGAATACTAGTGTACAGCTTATTGTGCACAGTATACTGTACGCCGTCTGTTGTTTTTTACAAATAGTATGTGAAGCAGTATGAAAACAATGCATAGTTGTCATTGCATTGAATTCAGAGAGATATGTCTAGTTATGACTTTGGAAAATGAAAATGGTAATTTTGTTCTTATTTTCTTTTAAATTGAAGTTCTATAAGTGATGTTTTGATTGTACTAAGGCACACAATTACCAAAATTGCACACAATCTCTGAAAAACAATGCTACAGCCAGTTATTCTACTTTGAAATGTCTAATTTAAATTGACTTTCATTGTACAGACAAAACCCACTGAAATCTTCTTGATTTTTGTACTTTTTGACACGGTGTTTGATGACAGACAGGTTTGGAATGATGTGAGGTTGAGTAAATAATTACATAATTTCCATTTTTAGGATGGAATGTCCCTTTAAGTCATAATTTTTGCTATTCTGTTTTGTGCCAGTAGTGACGCAGAAATTACAGCTTCAACTATTGATGTTAACGATGTTTTGATTGTTTCAAAAAAAGTATTGAGTCCACGAAAGGTCAGGTTTAGCACATTGCATCGTAGGGTACAGTATTTCATGCAGTGTGATACTGCACATTGAGACATAGTAGAATTGCATGCTGAAAAAACATACTATTTACTGCAGGAAGAATAAAAGTATTATAGTAACAGTGTTCAGATCGTGTTTCTCATAGACTAGAGTATTCGTCATTCATGTAAAGCTCACATCCAGTGTCCGTTCTAACCTTGAGTCTCTATTTAATGCAAAAAGAGGCTTCAAATGCAAGACTGCATTGCAATAGAAGATTCCAGCATCTGTCCTGCCATTCCCTCCCTCAAACATCTCTCCCTCTATCTCAACCAGTTGTTCTCATCATTCCTCTTTTCCTTGCATTCTTCCTCCCCTCACTAATCATACTGCCTCTTTAAATAGCTCTCAGGTGTTCCTGTTTGGGACATAGACTCACAAGAGGGGGACAGAGGGAGGAAGTGTGTGTGTGTTTTATACAACAATCTGGGGCAGACGAGAAATGTGGACATTCCCCCTCTCTCTCCTGCCTCACCCCTTTTTTCCCCCTCCATCTTTCTACATGTTTTTCAGAGTAGATATGCAGTTTCTTGGATAAACACACACACACCCTGTTTTTACAGTCTGGATTCAATCTGTCCAATTAAACATAAACTGACAGAGTAAACCACATGAGGTCTGGTATGGAAATGAGAGACGATATTTATTTATATTTATATTTTTTATTTTTTTTGCTTGTACACGCTGTCTGTGACGGTGCACACATGAAAACATGCCTGAGGATAGGATAAGGATGCATTTTGCACAGCAAACATATACACTGTATGCATATATTTAGAGAAAACACAAATATGCTTAGAAATAGACAAACACTCAGCTCCAGTTTTGAATGAACAAGTAGGTATTTTCAGCTGTTGTCGTATTGCTGGCCGAAAGGTTATGACCTGGGAGTGAGTAGATGGACAGTAAGATAGAGAGATTTCTCTTCTGGGATGTGCTGTCGTCTTTAGACTGCAGAACAAGTATGGCTAGTAGGGCCACTTCAGCATGCATCAATGTCAGTCATTGTGAAAATATTCATAGCAACTGTTTTCAGTCATTATTTTTGTATGTTTTTGCTCTGTTGGTTCTGTCACAGTGCTTAATCAAAGCCACATCAGATGGGCGTACACATAATAGGTTATGCAGGATATCAGAAGAAAATTCCTCTATTTTGAGCCAGGGTTATTTATAGTTAACTAAAATTAAAATCATAGAAAAAAAAAAATTTTGTTGCCTAAAATAATATAAATATTAACTGAAGAAAAAAAAAAGAAAAAAAAATTGCCAGTTGCCAACGTAACATTTCTCATTTTCAGAGTAACTTGATGTACTAAAATAACTAAAGCTATATAGAGACATATTGACAAAAAAAATTAAAGTAAATATTAAAATTGAAAAATTAATTCAATATTGTAATAAAACTATAATGGTAGCTCACTGATACTAAAATAACACTGTTTTGTGCACACTCTTATGAATTATACTAAATAGGTGTTACATTATCTGCCTAGGATAGGAGCCGAACCCATGAAACTGATCATAAGAGTTACAGTGTTTTAATAAAGAACCTGATAATTTCACCTGTTAAATCTGGTAACAGTCACACTTCTTCACAAAGACTTTTAGTGAGAGATGTTATAAAATGTATCTGCTTATAATGTATTTGCTAACATTTAAATGGGGAAGGTTCTTTTTTTTTAAATCACTTTTTGACATTGTTGGTTTGATCAATAAAAAAAGAAATCCACAGTTTAATTCTGTTATTGAAATTCTGTTATTAAAAATATTGATAAGCCCGTAATTATTTTAATTTTATTGCCAATATTATAATTAAATGGGCAATATTACGCATTTGGACTACTATTAATTCAGCATGCAAAAACTGAAATCTGTTATAGAAAATTTTTTATTCACTAAAAAAATTAATTTAGTGTTCATAATAGTAGAGGGGAATCTCTGGGATTCTGTAGATCTCAGAGAATTATGCCCAATTAATATATTGAATGTTTGCTTGAGGTTTTATACTGGAGAGTTTGTGTGTCTTTGCTATTGTTACATGTGCACAGCAACTCCCTGACATGCACTCATAAAGGGATTCACCCAAAAATGAAAGATTATTAGAGATCATTAGAGATCAAAGATCATTAACTCACCCACATCGTTCCAAATCTGTATTACTTTCTGTATTCTGCTGAACACAAAGATATTTTTAAGAATAATGATAACCAAACATTTTTAGTTCCCATTGACTTGTATTTTTTGTCCATACAAAGGGAACCAAAACATTATTCAAAATATCTTCTTTTGTGCTCCACAGAAGAAAGAAAAGTCATACAGATTTGGAACGACATGTGGGTGAGTTAACGATGACAGAATTTTCATTTTTGTGTGGAGTAAATGTCTTTAAAGGGAATGTGCCCTTTAAGAAAATCCAATTAATTTAGTGCTTGATTATTACCATTTTGGGTCAATGACTGTTTGGTGCCGATAAAGAACGTTTCACAGTTCATTCTGCTGTCTAAATGGTGCTTGTCAGCCAAACAGCACTTATGAATTGTTACTCTCTTTTCTTTACTTCTCTGTATTCTTTCACCTTTTCTCATTCTGTCTCTCTCAGCAGCTTTCTTTTCACTGCCATTTAGATTTTATTTTTTTGCTATTATTTCTCTCTCATCGTCCCTCTTCTCATATCTCTCTGGGTCTGACCCTCCAACACGTACGATATTATAAATGAGTGCCTAACTTTACTTTTGCTTATGCGAGCAGAACAAGTCTCAGTAAAGTTGTTCAGTCCCAAATGTCTGTCTCCTCGCCACGTGAACGTTTCTCATAAATGCCAGTGTTTAATAATGCTTGTGCGTGTTAGTCTGGGGATTCAGGGATGAGGCTCGCGAAGGCTGTCCTTCGAGAAACGTTTACAAGGCAGCGTTGTTGTATTCATTTATAATGCATGGATGCTATTAATCTGTTTTGACACAATGACAGGGTAAAACAATAAAACAAGTGTCGGAATACCAAAAAATTATCCAGGCAGGAAATTGGTTATGTAATGAAATCAAAACAAAGCCTTTCACATGAAGCGCAGCTGAAGCTTTCTGTCTAAGACATGTCATGCAAGGTCATGTGACTTACAATGCTTTAGAGACATGATCCAGTGAAGTCATAAAACATAACTGAATTAACCAATTAAATTAGGTAAAAGAAAAGCATGTTCAAGCATTAAAACTAAACCAAACCAAACTAACTTATACAAACTTATACTAATAGTTTACTTAGCTCAATTATTCAATTGTAAATTACAAAAACTGTAAACTTTTTAAAAATGTTCTAAAAATGTTTTATCAAAGAATCCTGAAATAATAAGCAAAACAACTGTTTTCAACATTGATAATAATTCTTTGAGCACTAAATCAATGTATTAGATTTTTTGATTTTAAACACACACACAGATATGAACTGTATATATTCAACATAAAAGTGCCTGTGCTGCTGTATTTTAGATTATTTGTAGTCTACAAAGCACTTTTTTGGGTATGGAAATTGATGGATGGAAGCATTACAGCATTCTTGTATATTCAGCATCAATTTCCAGCGTTCAGTCATTTGTGCTCTGATGATTCAACCAAGCTGCATCAACTTCAGCTTGCTTGAAAAGATTTAGACTTCACAAGTTTTGTTTCAAGAGATTTAAAGGTACTGTAAAAGAGTGTAACTGAACAGATAACAAACAACTGTGGTTTAGTGAACATAACAGGGCATCTTTGCACTTGATTTGTCCCTATGCTGTAATAAGAAATTTATGCCAACATGGCCTGTAGTAAAACAGCAAACTAAAATCCAATGGGAGCATCTGGTTAAAATTGAATAAGGAATAACCAGTAACAATAAACATTAGTAAGCTAAAATTTTTTGCTTGATGTTATGTTTCTAACAGACAGCAACTTCATCCTGGCCAATGCACAAGTGTCCAAAGGCTTCCCGATCGTGTACTGCTCGGATGGATTCTGTGAGCTTACTGGATTTGCCCGAACTGAGGTCATGCAGCAGAGCTGCGCATGCAAGTTTCTGTATGGGCCGGAGACCAGCGAGCACATCATTCTTCACGTGGATTCTGCGCTTGAGGAACGTAGCGAGCTCAAGGAGGAGATAATGTTCTACAAAAAGAATGGTGAGAAGAAAAAAGTCCTTGGTGATGTTGCTGCAAAGCTTGTTGTACATGTAAAAACACATGTAATGCATTTTGACAAATGCTAGATGTGTCAGGTTGAGTTTCATTTGCATTGATCTTGGGAATTTTGCCATCCCTGTAAAACTATTAGCAGCAGTTCCACCGTTAAAAGGAGACCAGTAATAATACATGGAAAGTTGTGTGATCCATCACTAGTAATAGCACATGGAGATATTGCAGCACACCTTAACAAAGTGAAATCTCTAGCCATTGTTAGAAGCAGATTTATTAGAGTTGGTTGGCCAAAAGCACCAGAGAGACTCTAAAGTCGGATTACAAACTAAAGTCCAGCAGGTGTGCAAGTTTATTTGTGGAATTTACGACAACATTGAAATGGATGTCATACACCCAGGGCCGGATTTACCTCTTTTCGTGACATAGGCAAAACAAATTTTTATTATTAATATAATATTAATATAATAGGCCTAATATTACCACCCAAGCAAACAAAAATATTTCTTAATCAGTGGAAACCGTTACAGTGTTTTCTATCGCAATAAGCGCTTGCGTTCAGTCAATAAAAATCGAATGTAGATTCTTAATTTGTTTGAGAATTCAAACAAATTGCATTTCATTCTATTAATAGGCGCGGCGACGTGGCCACATAACCACTTCGGAAGTGCATTATTTCTCTGATAATTTTAACGGCCTGGAGTCACAATCGAGAGAGAGAGATTAAGTGCATGTGAATACTTGCGTCTCTCAGCAGTATTCAGCAGCAGCGTCTACTAATAGCCAATCTTTAAGTTAAACTGCTTCAAGAGCCTCGCTACTGAGAAATGTCATGTAGCTTTTCAGCTGCAAAACTCTTTTATTGATAAATTCGCGGGGCAGCGCTGATGACAATGCGTGTGTCAGACTCTGTTCCATGTTTTGTGTGTGTACTGCTCCCCATGTCTGTGTGTGTGTATAAAATGTGTTCCCAGTCCCAAGTTCTCTGTCCGCAGTTGTACGTCTTCGTGGAACGTCTTCCTGTGTTCGTCTCCCTTGGTTCCTTGGTGCAAATAAAGTCTTGTCAACATATTCTCCAGCGTCTCCTCGTCCCTCGTGTGTGTGTGCAACGTGACAGCGTGTCTGTGTGTGCGTCTGTGAGAGAGAACGGGAGAAAGAAAGTGTGATTTCTGTAAATAAAAAAGGTTGAAGACATGGAAATAGTTTGTCATTTTTACCCTATTGTTTGTTATATTTATTGCCTCAATGTCTTCTGGGTTTTTGGTTCTTTTACTGTTGTAGATATCCCATAGTATAACAAATATTATTTATCCCTTCATTGTGTTTGGGCCCTCCCTGGAAGATAGGGAGGAATGCCTAGAATGCCTATGCGTAAATCCGGCCCTGCATACACCACACTTTCAACCCTTCAAATGCAAATTTTAAGAATAATTTTCCTTAATATGTTATATCTCACTCCCTTCCACACTTTATTTTTCTCTGAAATGGTAAATTTTGAGATTTAAGATAAGTCAAAATGAATGTTCTTTTCCTTTCGCTGGATTAGTAACTAAAAAGTACCATAGTACTATTTTTGAGTGGGTACCATAGTGGTACAATGGTGTACAATGAAGTACTGTACATTTAAGTAATATGTACACACAATGGTTTATAAATATGGTATTCATTATGGTACCACTGACTGCAGTACATGTCTGTGTATTATATTATATTCAGGTACATCTTCAAACGATGGTGTGGCGTTTTAACACCTCCCTGTACCTTTTCCTCGTGCTCATTCTCCTCTCCCCCTTTGTTCTATATTGAATGGAATATCTCCAGCACACTTGTTCTAGAGAGCGTTATTTCATCCCCTTTTTCTTCTCCATAATGGTGAGGCTTTTTCGTGAGGAAATGAGAGATTTGACAAAGACTACTCCAGCTGTGAGCAATCAGATGGAATTCCCCTAGAGGCTTCCAGTAACAGCTACTGGTGGAGAGAGAAACACACACACAGACGCACACATAGCTAAACACACATATAAATGCCCTGTCGCACACTAACACCCACACCGCTCAATACTCACAGACAAACAAGCATTCACACACACACCTACATGGGAATTGGATACCATAATGGTGCTGCTCTTTTTGGATGTACTGGTCTCTTTTGTTTCAGGTTTTTTAACACTTTAAATAGACTGGAAGTAATGTTTTGCCAAGTAAGCTAAAAATGTGCTTCCTGTGGTAACAACTAAATTAACTAGTTTTATTCAGTGCAGAAATTCTATTTAAAGCCAGTGTGAATTGCAACCCATTTTACTTCTATAATGCAACATATTTAAGGACACAGTATATCCAACTAAAAAAGGGCAGGGAAGTGGATCAGGATTTGATGCATATTTGCTAAAACAATGCTTAAGTAGATATTGGTTGACATTATCATATAGCCGGAGTGGCCTTAGTGACATCAGGGTCAAGTCAGGTAGCAGTAGCTCTTCAGTGTGACTTTGCTCATTGTCATGTTTTACAGTGTGAATGTCTCTTACTGTCTGTATATGTATGTGTTTATGTATTTTGCCTCTCTCAATTCCACTGCAGGTAGTGTGTTCTGGTGTCTGCTGGATATTGTGTCTATCAAGAATGAGAAGGGAGATGTGGTCCTCTTCCTTGCCTCTTTTAAAGACGTCACTGATACCAAAGCCAAATCTATACTTGAGGAGAAGAAAGAAGGTTTGTACGTGATGAATGAGTTTATGTGTGAGCATTAATTTCTGGATGCCAAGATATTCTTTACTTTTTTTTCTCTGAAATAATATTCATGGATGTTTCTTCCACTACATCCAACTTGATGTACTAGGGGTAGATTTTTATTAAATGATTTTAACTTTTTTTTTTTACCATGACTTCATTTATTTTTTAATGCCTTGTATATGTTTTTTTGTAGTTTTTTTATATCATTTTATTGTTCCCAGACATGTCCTAAAAACTAAAAACTAAAAGAAAACCAAAACTAAAAAAAAAGACTAAATCTTAAAATATGAAATCAAAATATGAATGATCAAAATGTAGTTTACTGTTTACCATGGAAACAGCAGTGTACCAGCATAATCATGAACCATATGATGTGTGGAAAAATAAGGTAAATATTTTTTATTATGCTTCAATTTCAGTTAAGCTGTATTTTTATCAAATTATGCAAAAAAAATTGATAATTTCTACTACAGAATGCTGTTAAATACAACCCACAATTTAAGTTGTGGAGAAAATGGCTTTCAAAAATGACAGTTCATGTATATACATGGCTGAAGATTGTTGCTAGACAAATTAAACTAGTGAGAGTAAAAAAATTTGTTTTAAGGGATTTTATTTCACAGTCCACAGGGCCAAATGTGTCAGTCGTGTAAGAAAAACCCTCATATGATCCCATTTTGTGCTCATCTCGTTAAGGTGAGGCGGGATAAAAAACTGTCTGTTTATTGTGTGACTGAGAATCCAGATCAGATATTGGCCTCAAGCACCAAAGGGAATCCCAGTGCAACTGTGTCTGTCCTACTCTTTTTTTTCTTTTCACACTTTTGCCTTTTGTTCCTTTCTCTCTCTCCCTCCTTCTCTGTGTTTCACGTGACCTGTGCTGCTAGTAAATTGGGAGTACATTTATTAGGATCTATAATAAGTGTTATGCCGCTGGTCTCCCTGCTGACTGCAGCCTTTTATGGATGAGTTTCTGTCGCCCCTCTCCTCCTCAGGCCCTGCAGGCTGAAGTGATCTCTATCCCTCTCTAATAACCAGCTTCCCAGCTTTCTCTCTCACTTCCTAGCCCTTCACCTCTCTTTCTCGATCCATGTTTCTCTCTGTCTGTCTATCGCTCCATCCCTTCAGTCCTTTTCCTACTCCTGCTTTGGTTTCCCTTGGTACCTTGTTCGGCAGGGTTGCAATGAGTGACATTTTTCCCCTGTTGCCCTTGGCAATCGAGACTGGCAGCCTGGCTGTCTGATTGTTTCCTCAGCTGGCTGATTTAAAAATGCTACATACTACACATTCGTACACACACACACATACATTACTGGTCAATATCCACAGAGACGCCACACATTTCATATGTTTTTGTCTCTGTCTCTAACAGTGTAACCATTGCACTACAGTACTCCTGCTGGCACTTTTTGTTTTTCATTTTTATTTTTGCTACCAACAATTACTAACACAGTCAAAACAAATTCTGTATGTTGATTATGCAGTGAATTTGCTTTCGCCAACCTAGGGAGGCGAAATAGTGTAGTGATGGGTACTCACGTCACCAATGACGTTATGATATTTGGATCACATGTCACTTAAGGTGTGGTTATGAGTACATCCCATAAGAAAGATTGGTGGGATCCCTAACTTGTAGAACCTCTTTCTGTATCATCAACACAAGGAAGACACAAGTGTAATAAAATAGATTTTGTTAACAAAAGATAGACAAGAGTAATCAACAACTTCTAAATGAATACCATAAACAAAAAAGGAATAAAGTGCATAAGATGCATAAAATGCAAGTGATTATGTTGGGTGTTGCTATATCAGAGCTACGTTATCTGGAAGATAAACTGTTGCTACTCTAAAACAAATAAGGTGAACAACCTTATTATGCATCAAACAAATCTGTGAAAGATTATTTGTTATCAACTGCAATCAGCTATATAACATCTAATGCAAATTAGAATAATCATATACTGATAATACACAACAATGCCAAGGTCTCTGGAAGAGGTTGGATAAGTGATAGTTATGTTCTCTGTGGTTGAGTGAGCAGTCCTGTGACAGTGACTTCATCCACTGGTTGTGCTAGTAACAATGCAGTGGGGAAAGGAGCAGGAATCCGATTCAGCAGTCTTGAACACGAAGCACTGTAGGATGCTGATCTCCTGAAGCACCAAAGGGTCCTAAAATCTGGAACACACAGATGTGGCCCTGAAGGTCCTTGCCTGGAACACGCAAGCAAAAGTACCTTAAAGTGAAGGTTTGCTCGCCGGAGCTTAACCTTGTTGCAAATGTCTGTGTCTTTTGCCTCTCTGGGCTAGAGATTCAGAACTTGGTCAATCCACTTTGTCTCTCTAGGATGGAAACTCAGGATGTGCTGCATCTGTTGTTGTCTCGCTAGGCGAAGGCTCTAAACGTAGAATATCTCTCTTCTCACAGGCTGGAGGCTCAGAATGCGGTCGTATTTGTTGATGCCTCACAAGTAGTGGGCCGCAGGCTCCGAACCGGTATCTGTTACAGTCTCTCTGGATGAAAGACTCAGAACGGAGGTTGATCTGTTATTGTCTCACTGTGGGGCTCAGACTCAGAACTTCAGTTTTTCTGTTAGTGTCTCTCCCTTTCGGGACTCAGACTCAGAACTTGTTGATCTGTTAGTGTCCCTTCCTTTGCAGGGCTCAGACTCAGAATTTGCTCTGTTGGTGTCCTTTCCGTGACAGGACTCAGACTCATAACTTGTTGATCTGTTAATGTCTTTCCATCGCAGGACTCAGACTCAGAACGGAGGTATCGGTTGCCGTCCCCTGTAGTGGGCCGCAGGCTCCGAACGGTTGTGTCTGTTGCTGCCTTCCCTGAAACAGGCCGGAGACTCAGAACAAGGAGTGTCTTTTGGGAATGTACCTTTATCCCTTTCCGATGAGGAGAAGATTGCAATCTGGCACTTCTCCATTTCCGTGCTGTGATTGGCTGTTTCCATCGGAGTGGGGGGACACGGTGTGGCACACCCTTCTTGCCTCCTGTTGAACTTATTTGCATAGTCCAAACACACATTTAGAAAAGTGTCACTAAAGCTTTACCAATGCATTATTTACTTCCCAAACACAACCAGAATATCTTTGGCAATGTTACGAACACATTAAGTCCAAACATGATGGAAGAAGATTGAACTGTCATGCATGCATTCATTTGTCCATTAACAGCTGAGTTTGTGTAAGATGTTGCACTACACGTCGCTGTCACCGAGAATACTTATTTCTCTGAATAAGTATAAGATGTGTTGTAGTTTGCATCAGTTTAAGGTTTGAGAACATAGTTATGAATGTATTTGGATGGACCTCTGTGATCTCTCTTTGTTTCACCCACTGCTGCTGTGTACAGAGGTCCTAAGGCATTTTTATGGCAGTCACAGGCCAAAACTTGATGTTTTATAGGAATCTGTCTGTTGGTGGGTGAAGGGCAGAAACTGCATTTTGACCAATGAGAAGTCCTGTCCTTCCCAGGCTTTGTACCAAAGGTCTTCTTCTTGCCCTCTAAGAGGTATCTGGTTGTTGTCCTGGCATCTTTATCTGATGGTGTTGGACAGTTTGCTTACGTTAGTCCACCAAGATCCAATCAAAATGTAGCAAACCTTTATCCACTATTGTGGTCAGAGAGGGGCCCCACCATAAACTGGGCCCTGGAATGTGCTGTCCACTACAATTAGAAAAGAAAATGCATGCAAAATATAAACATGTATTAATTCTTATTTCCTCCAAAGTGTTTTTAGTGGAGATTGAAGTATTGTTCATTGAGCTCGCCATACTTTTAGCTACTTTATTTTCAGCAATTTGGCAGCAAAGTTTCAGGTTTTCTGTTTGAAGGTTGGGTTGTTCAGGTTATAGTAATCCATAGTGGTTTTTGTTTTGTTTTGATATGTTTTGTTATTTTCAGCAGCAAAGTTTTAGATTTTCAGATTAGGTTTGGCTTCTTAAAACAATCTATGCTAAAACACTTCTGTACTTTGGAAATGCATCAACACAGGAAAGAAACCTGCATTTGTTAAACCATTTCATGTGGACTTACATCTCCAGTCTAGGATGTCCTCTTATCTAACTGGTTTAGTTCAAGACCTCAAAGACTAAATCAAATGAACCTACTGCAGTATTTAGCAGTCACTCGATCAGCTGAAACATATGTGTTCAACATGGGAATGAGAACATTCTGGCAGCAGAGCCCCAACTAGCGGAAAGCACTGGTGTAAAGCAGGTCACCAGCAGAAAGGAAGTTATTCTTGTGTCACATCAGCTTTTGTGTAACAGCAGTATGGAGGGCAATAGAAGAAAAACAGGCCACTTTGAATAAAACTGCCCTCAATGCATGGAAGTATTGATGAAAAGGCTTTTTCTTCACAAAGCAACAAAAACCACTCTCTGAATTATACACTTTCATCCAAACCAATGCAATTATTTTTCTGTGTACATAACATTTTTGGAGCAGGAATTCAAGACGTTAGGGGATGATGGCTTAGAAGTTTTCATAGTTACTTGGCCATGTATCTTGCTTGTTATTTCAAGTATCATACCAATACCAGCTCTAGTCAATATAATGCTGCAAAGCTTGAGTTATTCCGGTGTTTTTTTATTTGATTCATTTTGCTTATTTTATTTTAAAATAAGTAAAAAGAAATGCAAAAACATAATATACAACAACCTCAGTACCACAGGAATTTGCTTACTGTGTCCTCTGGTGTTGGTGTCTTTATGAATTAATGGAATTTATTTTGTTTTTGTTTCTTGATGGATTGTATCCAACATTGCCCTTGACTTTCATAACAACAGTCCAACCTTTCCTCAGAGTGCCGCCGCGAGAAGGTCAAGGGCGGGTCTCCGTTTGGCTCCACGCGGCTGCGATCTAGCACAGTTCTCTACCATATTTCAGGACACCTGCATAACCGTCAAAAACAAAGTAAAATCAAACTTAACAAGGTGAGACCATTCAAATACTAAGGGAAGAGAAAAATACAGAAACTGAAAGACAAAACAGAACCAGTGACTTTACCATAATTGTTCTCGCTCTTTCTAGAATGTTTTTGGTGATCCACCAGCTCTTCCTGAATATAAAGTCGCTGATGCCAAGAAGTCCAAATTCATTCTTCTCCACTTCAGCACCTTCAAGGCAGGCTGGGATTGGCTGATCCTTCTGGCTACATTCTATGTCGCTGTGACGGTGCCGTATAACGTTTGTTTTATTGGTGATCAGGACTTGACACGTAGCACCACTGTCACTGACATTGCCGTTGAGATTCTTTTCATCATTGGTAAGAGAATCCAATTTTGATCTTTGACATTATATTTAATCGGTCAATTACGTAGTATGTTTTTCACTGTGAGCCTGATTATGATTTATGACATTATCTTTGTTCTATCACATGTATGTCTTTACACATGATTATAATCAGGTCTTTAAATTGATTTCAGGCTCTTTGACATCTTCCATTAACCCTCTGTGGTACAGCGCTGCCACAGGGGAACATATCATTCTCCTTTAGTTTCCTGCTATTTAGAAAAAAATGTAATTGCATTGCAGGAATTAAAAGGGCAATTTTTACAGAAACAAATAATATTCTTTAAGACGTTTGACATTTGAGTTTCTTTCCATGACTGATCCTGAACTCTTTCAAGAAACACACATGCTGTGCTCCTCAAATTGTGCTTTTATTTATATTGCCTGCATCTTTGATTTTTGAGCTTAAATAGATGTTTCTGTTGACAGATCGTTCACAATTTAAGAGTAAAGGATGTTGATCCCATGTGATTTAAATATGAATTAAAATGTGAATGAAACATATGTTACTGATTTCAGTTTAGTGTAATACAATATAAGGATGACCTTTAATGTATTTTAACACTGTTCCTGAACTTTGGTTTGGCTTTGTGACCCTGATAATGCCTCTATTTAGAACGCCCGGTGTTCAGATTTGGTGACAGCGCATGAATTTTTCATTTTCCTATTGTTAGTCTGCGATAACAACCCGCTTGTTATATAGCTAGGAGAAAAGCATTTTTGCTGTTATAAATGCTTTAGTGGACACACTGTCATTCATTGAGATTATGCTGATAGAGTACTTTGTAAAGATGCTGACTCTACTCTGTCTGTTGCTTCACCAGATATCGTGTTCAGTTTCCGCACTACGTACGTGAGTAAGTCGGGGCAGGTGATCTTCGATGCGCGGCTGATCTGCATCCATTACATGACCACCTGGTTCATCATCGACCTGGTTGCCGCTCTGCCCTTTGATCTCCTTTACGCTTTCAAAGTCAGCGTGGTGAGTAGAATTAAAAAATATGTAATGAATGTATCAGGAAAAAAAATCTGTGTTAAGTTCTGGGAACATGTTTTCACAGCTTTCAAATGCATTTTGAATTGATTACATTTGCATGATTTTGCAGAAAACGCAGATCCACACAGAATCTGTGCCTGCAGAAAACTTGAAACATGTACACACCCCATCACTTGCATTTTTAGTAAATAACTAACAGTAACCAACCTAGCACAACTTCTTTCAGTAACCAACCTAGCACAACTATGCTTGTGAATTTTTTTTCTTTATATCAATAACACCAATCAAGCCCGGTATAAAGCCACCATCACATCCCTTCCTCAGTGTCTGGTCTTGTTGTTCACATGTGTGCATCAACCTCCCTGGCTCCTTAAAAGTGTGAACACAAAATATATATATATATATATATATATATATATATATATATATAATTATATATTACAGATATATTATATATATAATATATCTGTATATATATATATATATATATATAATTAATGTTTTTTAAGATTACTTTTGTTGCCATCCAACACTTACTTAAAGTTGATCTAAATTAAAAATAGTAAAAATTAGCAAGAATAATTAAATATATAAAATGTCAGCCAATATATACCCATATTTTGTTGCCATATACACTTACTCGAAGTTTATCTAAATTAAAAATAATAAAAATTAGCACGAACAATTAAATATATAAAACATCAGGCGATCTCTTCATCATCCAGTCTGTCTGGAATGACGTGAAGAAACAGAACAAACTGAGAAGAACTGTGGCAACGTCTCCAAGATGCTTCAACAAACCTACCTGCAAAGCTACAGTAATGTTAAAAGTTTTAGGCACTTGTGTAAAAATGCTGTAAAATGAGGATGCTGTCAAAAATAATGTCATGATGAATAGATTTTTTATCAATTTACTTCTATTAACTAAATTAAATCAACATTTGGTGTGACCATCCATTGCGTTTAAAGCAGCTTTTGCCCTAGGTGCACTTGCGCATTGTTTTTCAGGTAGCATTGCAGGTAGGTCTCTTGAAGCATCTTGGAGATGTTGATTTAGTCTGTCTCAGTTTGTTCTGTTTCTTCATGTCACACCAGGCAGACTGGATGATGATGAGATCAGATCTCTGTGAGGAGCACTGGCTGTTGTCAGACTCCTTGTGCAAACAAAATTCTCACTGGATTATTACAATTAATTGCAAAATGAATGTACGTCTCTGTAGCAAAAGAAAGAAATAACTGACTTGAAACCATTTTTAGCTGGTGAAAATACTAGTCTTCTAATAATTTTGGCCACCACTGTATACCCAGTGTCAGGTTTTTTGTTTTTGTTTTTTTTTTACATATTTTTGCAACATTTCCATAATGTTTTATTTGTTATATGGAATTATGATGTACAGGTGCATCTCAATAAATTAGAATGTCGTGGAAAAGTTCATTTATTTCAGTAATTCAACTCAAATTGT